CACTATGCTACCAGAGCTCCTCAATTATGTTTTACATATATGCAAATACATAGGAAAAATGAACCAAAATTTTAATAGTGACATTTTTTCTTATGTTGTGGGTGATGTTATTTTCTTCTTTTTATTTTTCTGTATTTTCCAGTTTTCATATAGTGAACTTGTGTTATTACTTTTATGATCAGAGATTAAAGAAACAGTTTTCTTTCTTTTTCCAAAGAGATTTTAAAAACATCCTTTTGGATTTTTGCGAAATACACTTTTGAGACTAGCTTGCAGGTTACTGAAAGCAGTGCTGCTGAAGCTTTAATGTGCATATAAATAACTTCAATATCTTGTTAAAATGCAATTTCTGGTTCAGCAGCTCTGGGGTGGGGCCTGAGCCTCCGCATTTCTAACAAGCTCCCAGGTGATGCTGATATTGCTGGACCAAGGACCACATACTCAGGAGCAAGGACTAAGAGGACTCCTGGAGACTATGAGTGGTCTATGCATTACTCTTTGAAAACTGCCATGTAGAAGTGGACTAGCAAAGACCTGGTATTCCTCTGAAGTTGCTGCTACCACAGGCAAACTACTGAAAGAGTGTTGATATCTTTTCACCTAACAGCAATAGCTGCAATGATTACTTTTCTCCTAGTGGAATATATACCAAACTTCATCTTACTAAAAAAAACTAGTTATAAATACACTTGTTGTTGTTATGTGCCATCGAGTTGGGACCCCTCCTTGGGTTTCTGAGGCAGTATCACTATGGAAGTAGATCGCCCAACCTTCCTTCTGAGGAGTGGCTGGTAGGTTTGAACCAACAGCCTTCTGGTTAGCAGTGAAGTGCTTTAGGCACTACGCTACCAGAGATCCTATAAATACACTTACTCTTCATTTATTGACTAGCTCATTACCCAACATTTTGCATTTATATTAGTAAAATATCTTTTGGTTAGCAACCAAGTACTTTTAACCACTGCACTACCATGGCTTCTTAGTTAAACCCCTACTAGCCAATTATTATGTGTATTAATAATGTACTTCTAGCAGTAACAAACACTGAGGGAGAGTAATGGTGGTTGTGATGGTAAAGGTTATGAGTCAATTTGGCTGGGCCATGATTCTCAGTGGTTTTGGAAGTTACATAATGATGTAATTTGGCAGTTATGTAATGATATAATTTGGCAGTTATGTAATGATACAGTCAGTCCCTTTTTTTTGATCTGAGATAGTCAGCCTCTATTTTCGTATCATGCCAAGTTGATAAGTGAGGGGTGAGTATATAATAACAGCTCTTTACTATGAAGAATCAATTTTCATTTCAGGAATGTAATTATCAAGAGAAAGAATGGATCGTGGTTTTAAAAAAAGCATCAAATTAGGATTCAGCATATGGTGGTGCAGTGGGAGAATTCCTGCCTTCCATGCAGGAGACGTGGGTTTGATTTCAACCACATACCTCAGCGCAGCCACCACCTATCTGTCCATGGACGTTATGTGCAGCTGTGATGCTGAACAGGGTTCAGTGGACACTGCAGACTAAGATGGACTGGGAAGAAAGGCCTCATGAACTATTTCCAAAAACCAGCCAGTGAGAACCCTATGGATCACAACAGTGGGATCTGTAACTGCTCATGGAGGTGGCACAGGACTGGGCAATGTCTAATGTGCATGAGTTGGGAGAGATGTAACGACAGCTAAAAACAAAAACATCAATCCAGGCTCACTCTGGGCAAGTTATCTAAGAACTTCTGGGCTTCTGTAGTACAGTCTTTAAAATGAGGGGCACTGTATCAGGAATTATCATTCGAGGTGTAACAGTTTAACTATTAACAAAAATCATTAGTATTTAGAGAATGATTCCCCAGTTAATTTTTAACCTTTGCCTCTTCCTATTTATATCACAAAATAAATAGTAAGGATAGTAACACTTTCTTAAATAACTGAAATTGTTCCTAACTTTCAGAAACAAATCTACTAAAGATATTAAATAGTGACTTTGATGCAATGTGCTTTCCACCAGTACCTCTTTTTGTCTGGTATGTAGTGGGCAAAAACTATAAGATGCAACAAATTATGGGAAAAATTATTTCTTAGTAAAACAGTTTATTCTATGCCTATTTTGGTGGTTAGTCTTAATGCAGTTTAGGTTAATCTAGTTTGCTCTTCATATTAAACAAATTACAAGACTTGGATGGACAATTTGTTACAGGAAATCAAGTGTCTTTGTTCTTCAAACTTTATCCTTTCTCTTACCCAACATTAGTACTCAGAAGAAAATCACAAAACATCTGGGACCTGGCAGTTATGTAACTTAATGAAAAATCTTGCATCTCATGTCTAGTTTGGGGGATATTTATATCTCCTAAGCAGCCCTTCTAGACTTTCAGCAATTTACGTTGTTCTCCAAATTGGGGTAGGGACAGATTAAAACAATATATATTAAGAACAATTACACCAGAAACATTCAGAACATTAGAATTTATAATAGAGTTCATTATTTACATTAGTAAATGAATGCCTTATGGTATTAATATTCATCTTTGAAGATATCTATAAAGAACATCAATAAGCATACAAACATACTTAAATAAAATATAGAAACAAACGACCATAATAAATGGCAAAAAATTTGCTAACAGCCATATCCAGGAAGTCTTCCATTATTCTATTTTATACTTGTAAGATTTACATTTGAGACTGCCAAGGAATACCACAAACTATATTCTTTATGTCAATCACAAAAGAGTATGATCTTAACACATAAGAAAAAAAATTAGTTGATGATCCTTCACATTACTTTATAAAGATCATACTATAATAAAGGAATCTGGAGCAATTTTGGTTTAATATTTTAGACTTTCCTATATTGGACTAGAGGAGCTCTGGTGGCGTAGTGCCTAAGTCACTTGACTGCTAACCAGAAGGCTGGTGGTTCAAACCCACCAGCCACTC